GGGGAGGGGGCCGGGGTCGGCGTGTGTCCTTCGGATCGCCCCCTGGACCGAAGGCCAGTGCCGGGGGCGGCCCTTGCGGTGGAGAGGACAGGAAAGGGGTGAGGCGAACTCTGGGGTGGGGCTCATCCTGGGGGGCGAAGTGAGATCCCTAGGTCTCCAGACCCCACCCTCACCGCCACCCGGTACCCTAGACTGGGTCTCTAGGTGCACTTGGCGGCCTAGGGCCCTGCGCTCTAGCGAGGGGCTTCTAAAACGGGTGAGGGGTCCTGTGTGTCCGGAGGCCGCAGGGGGCGCCCGGCGAGCCACGTCCATCAGCAGCCCCTTTTGATTTGAACGCTTCACAGGGGGGGTGAAGCGGGATTGGATCTCGTGACCAGCCCGAGTTTTCTCCCTCCCCTGGTCCTTTCGACCCGGATAGGTCACTTGGCCATCACAGCCCCTCACCCAGGACGGCTCGTCCTGGACGCATTCTCCCGGCACCACGTGGGTGAGGGACCCTCCTCTGTGCCACCGCAGCACCCCTGCCTTCTCCCATCACGTTGCTGTCTGCTGTCGGCATCCTGAGTTTTACCGGTGTGGTTACATGCCTCGCCCATCAGACTGTGAGCGCTTTGAAGACAGCAAGGTTCAGGTGCCTGGAGCCACAAAGCCCCACCCCCCAACCTGGCACACACTGGTCAAAATGAAGGGCAAAGATGTTTTGAGCGTTGGCTTCCTGTTTAGTTAAAACACATATATATGTGCATAACCTTGCTGATATTATTCTAGCTTTACAAGTAGTACAGCCTTTAATCCTTGGAGCAGCTGAGCTGAGTCTGGTGGATGCAGGAATGAACAATGCCAGTTGGGGGGCTTTGCTGCCAAGTCAGCAAAGAGTTAGGAGGGTCTGCTGGAAGTGGGCAAGGTCCTCAGGACAGGGAAGGGAAAAGGGTGGAGGGGTGGGGGGCGATGGACCCCACATGATAATCCCGGGTGCTTAGGGGAATGATTACAACTGGGACAGCCGGGAAAGGCATCAAGCACAGTGGTTCGGCTTCCAGGACCTCTCTGGGTGGCTTTGGCCAAGTCCTGGCCCCTCTCTGAGTCTCAGCTTCCCCTTCGAAAAATTGTGATGATAATCTGTACCTACTTCAGAGGGCAACTGTGATTAATCAATAAATCAGTAAATGCTGGACCCACCAAGTGCTTCAGAGAGTGAGCTGTTATTGTTGCTCTTATCAAAGAGGCCTGGAGAGTTCCTGTGGAGCGGAGGAGGCACAGATAGATGTCTAGGTGACAGCTAGACATGTGGGACCGGACTTCAGGACTAGAGAAGCCAATATGATAATGCCCACATTGGCAGTGAGTCATTCAATAAATATTTAGCACTTAATATATGCCAGGTGCTATGCTAAGCTTGTAGAAATGGCAGTGTACTAGAGAGACAGGAGGACTGCTGCCCTGAGCAGCACACACTAACAAGTAAAGCCAAAGGAGAAAGAAATTTCAGATAGGAGTCCGTGGGTGGTGCCAAGGGTTGATGTGTTTGGCTGCGAATCTGAAGGTTAGCGGTTCAAATCCACTCAAAGGTACCTAGCAAGAGAGGTCTGGTGACCTGCTTCCAAAAAGTGGCCATTGGAAACCTTAAAGAGCACAGTTCTACTCTGAGACACATGACTTTGCCATGACTCAGAACCAACATGAAGGCCACTGGTTTTCACCAAGACTCAGTGGAGTGCTGGGCAAGCTTAGGAAGGGAGTGCAGATGCCAAACAGGCAACTACGACAGCACATGGCTTGTTGAAGAGGACATGCAGGTTTGGGCTGGAGCTGAATTGCTGGGGACAATAGAAAGGGGATTGAAGGCCGTTCCACTGGAGAGCCGCTTTCTCTCTCCACTTAATACACAGCACTCAACCTCCCCTCTAAAGAAACACAGAAGATATTTAAAGACCACAGACTTGCTGCAATAGGTCTGAATAAAAGGGTGGAAGGTCTGGGAATGACTTTAAAATAATCTACTGGAAGGGGCAGGATGGTTGGGGGATTAAAGATGAAACGAAGACAGGCCATTCTGTTGAGAATCGTTGAAGCTGGATGTTGGATACATGGAAGTTCATTACGTGTCGTGAGTTCAAGGGAGTTTGGAGCTGAGTAAGAAAAAAGATACAGCCACGAGATAGCAGTGTGGCACAAGCTATTCATTGGGGTCACAGCATTGACAGCAGGAGGTGTGGTTCCCCACAGCAGGCGGTCTTCCAGAAGCCAGCTGCACAGGGCCACCCGAAGGGAAGGAGGGCTCACACATGCCCAGGAGATGTCCTTCTGTCCAAGGTGGGCAGCCTGGGTCAGGGAGCTCTGAAAGATGGCAGCCATTTGGGTCTGTGTAAGTACAGGTTTTATGGAGTCTGGCTAGCAGCTGTCGGGCACGGTCACAGGGTATATGGAAAGGCCATTGTTGTTAGCTGCCCTTGAACCTGTTCTGGTTCACGGCCACCCTTCGTGTGCCGCGTAGAACGGCTCCAAACATTTTCAAAGCTGTGACCTTTCGGCAGCAGATTGCCAGACCTGTTTTCTGAGACACCTTTGAGTGGGTTTGAACCACCAACCTTTTGGCAAATGTGTAACCATTTGTGCCAAGTAGGGAATCTCCTAAGTGGTGAAAAGTCTGCTTGTCTGGGCTCTTTTTTAAAGTAATTGGATGTATACACATTTGAACTTGACACCAGTGGGATTTTGGGGCTAATGGTCCCATCCTGCTATGAAGATATAAACAACCTGGGGCCAATAAGACACACATACCATCTTTGCCTCGTTTGTATAACATTATTCTTCCTCTTATTGTAATGCTTGAAATTTTTTCAAGATAAAAATTTGTTTATAACTAACGTCTATGGGCTTGAAGGAGACAAAGCATTAGCTGGCCTGGGGTGACCACCAGTCTTGGTTTAGTTATGAGTGAAAGAAGAGAGTTGGACATGTGGCCAACAGAAAGAGAGGGTTTGGAGTGGGGAGAAAGGGTGAGCTCTTAGGGAGAGTGGCTATTGAAGCAGGGCTCTCAGGACTAGATGCCAGGGACCCCAAGTCGAGGAGCAGGAGGAAGAGCTGTCTGCTAATGACAGACACTTCATCACCCTGTGAGCCTGTCAGGCTGGGCATGTGGTGGAGAGAAGCAGCGATTGTCTGGAAGGAGAAGTCACTGCTTCCTGGAAAATCCGGCCACAGGCGCCTAAGAAACCGCACTGAGCTTGACAGCAGCCTCC